TACACACCCAAGGATTTACCAACATGGCTTACGTTATTAATTGGACAGCCACCTATCGGCACGACTCAGACATCGTTGCACCCTATGAAAAGTTCATTCTTTATGATAAAAAGGTTCAGGCTCTAAAACAAGAACAAGATTATGCAGCAAAGAAGACAAAAAAAGTAGTTTGGTTTGTATCCAATTGTGCTGCTCGAAATGGCCGACTCCAGTATGCGCGGGAGCTTGCGAAGTATATCGAACTGGATATCTATGGTACTTGTGGTGCCAAGAGGTGTCCACGCACTAGTGCTAAAAAGTGCTTTGACATGATTGATAAAGAATATAAATTTTATTTGGCATTCGAAAATTCCAATTGTAAGGATTATATTACAGAAAAATTCTTTGTCAATGGATTAAGGTAAGCATTCTTTCTTTTATTCCTGAAAATATTAACACATTTATCGTTTTCAAACTAATGTGAATTTATCTGGAAAAATTGGGAGAATCACTGCTTTAACAGTGATGCCAGCCTATTATCGTTTTAGTTTGAATAAATATATGTCAATTAAGTTATTAAGGAGGATTTTGTAAAGATTTGCTTGTACACAGTTATACTGATGCTACGTTGTTCAACGCATATTAAATCTACGGCAGTATTTAAAGTTAGCCACTAGTGACTCAGAGGTATGTTTACGGACCTACTACTCTAAAAACTTGGTGTCGATACTCCTGGTAGGTACAGTACAGATAGTCCATTGTGTAGGTTTGTGCTTAAATAAGTCCTAAATCTATGTACTAAGCTAACAATGCAATCAATATCCATACAAAAGTATAATAATAACAAATAATAATACTATATATACTAAACAATCTAGTCTTGAAAGAAACATTAACGAAAGATTAGAATAGATCTTACTCACGGGAACAAAAAACACTAGTTATTAACTTCAAGTTCGTTCGTTTATTCTAAGCTAGCCAAACTGCATGATATATTATTGGATTTACGACCGAAAATACTGTTAATAGCGATTGTACCCAAAAAATGAAAGAATGCATTTTAATTCTGATAACAAATAATGTAGGGAAAAGTATATATAATTAGCTACACTCAGTCCAATATTTGTAACAAAAAACGTGCGAACCGAATATATAATTAGTTATACACAATATCGTGTTTATATTTTATCTAAGTAGCTTGCTCTGATTGGTGTTAGTATTAGTAGAAATAGGCTAATGTCTTAAAATATGATACTGAGAAACTGAAATGAGTAGGTATTTTTCTGAAATGGATATATATATGAACAAACCAATGAGCTGCTTTAGTTATTTGTTTGCAAAATCAAAAGAAGTCAAAATCGTGTTTAGAAGCATGAAGTTTTTGTCCCCCTGGGGTTGTACTAAAATGAAAAACTTTCTCAGTGTTTGTCTAATTTAATCGGCATTAATTATGTGATTGATGACTTAGTTTGAAATAACAATTAAGCAACTATGTAAATGCTTTGATTATCTTTAATTATCTAGTTTTAGTTCTTTTTATTCTTAATTTGTCTATTGTGGTTCAAGATCATAGGTGTGTCAAAATATCTCCCTTATGGTAGGAACCATTGGATGAGATGTCTGACTCGTCTGTAACGCTGTCACTTTAGTCTTTGTTGCGGATGTTGAAGTCTCACTGGATCCCATTGTTCATAGATCTGGGTGCCTCTTGAGCCGTATAAGCAGCAGGATGCTTTTATTGAGCTTTATGGTTATAGTGATCCCATCAAATATGTGAATACATTTGCTGTCTCCTCCTAGTCATTGTGTTTCATCCCCTTATTTTGTCGCCACCTCCTTGAGTAGCAACAACAGTGGTGTAGTCTTCAGCTGCCGAGACTAGACTGGAGAAGCCTATATGGGACAATGTGTCAGCTCTGGTGAAATAATATAGGGGACTTCCCTAGACTCCCCAGTAGCACTCATCACAGGCAGCTCGGCTTTAGGAGACACCTGCGTCATCCTGTTCACTGATTTGGAGAACTCTGCCTCCTAGTTGGACACATTGGTAAGCAGCGAGTTTTCATGTGTGAAACATTAGTTTCGCACTCTCTGTCTTAACGGTGACTCAATTCTCCTTGCTGTAGAAAAACTCCTGTGCATCCTGGATTGTTTGTAAGCTTTATAATGTGATGAGGAACCTGTCTTTATAGTCAGAGCAAGGATCTTAAAAACGAGAAACTGGAACTCGGGAACAATGGAACACTAGTTCAGATCAGCTCAAAGTTCAAAATGAGAGGCTGACTGTAAAGGTTGACTAAGTTATAATTGGTCAAAGGTTAAGGGTGAGTCGTGATATGTGGTTACGACCACAAACTAACGTGTCTGCACTCCCATCATCGCACGTAGAACATATGTCCAAACAATTTGAGGATTTTCCAATCCCCTGATTTCACTGGACTTTCTTCCAGACAACTGGAAAATGAATGTCATGTAGACAAAGCCCAGTTCCAGAAGGAAGGAAGGTGAGTTGAGATTGCTTGAGTCCTACACAACTGAGCTAAGATGGGTTAGGCAATGTTATGTACACCTTTGGCTGTTAGCTTTGCTAATAGTTTCTTGTCTCTCTTTGGGGATATTCTTAAATATCAAACTATGCAACAGTTTCTTATTACATGTAAATCTTTTATTTTCATGCCTTAACACCATATTTTGGCAATGAAACAATGTTATAAGAAAATATCAAATCAAAGCATTTGCTTATTAAAAAACCCTATTGGCACAGTGGAAAGTCTAACAGCATATAATGCTAAAAACCACTTTACTATATCCGTGGTAGGCATAGCACGGATAGTCCATTTAAGCTTTGTGTTTAAATACAAATTTCCAATTTGTATGACTAAAACATTCCTATCACAACCAAATAAAACATCAAAACTGAAACATTATCTTTAAGAAGTAATGAAAATAACAGATATACTGTATTTTTTCCGATAATGCTTTCCAGATTATTCGTTACAGTCAACACATATTCATGAATTCTTAAACTGAAAGCAAATGTTTTCTCTCCATGTTTTGATTGTTTTCTTCTTACTTCCTTTAATGAAAGATCAAACCAGTACCTGATGCTCTATAGAGTTCTCACCACTCAGCTAAATGTTTTACTGGTTTTTCTTGAACCATTGGACGACGTTTCGCATAAAAAATTCACTCAGTAGTTCAGAAAGCAAGAGTTTGTAATGCCCTTGCAATCACTGACCTTTCGGTCACATTATTGCCTTAACTGCCGATAATTGAGTGATAATCCTACAATGTTGTATACACATTATATCTCAATACCACTTGTTAGCTTAGAAAAATATGAATGTCATTTCCCCCTCAGTCCACCACTGTGCAGATGAGCGACTGTCCTAACTGTCATGATCAAGCTGTAACCCTAAAATGTAGAGCATCTAATACTATTTGATGGTTCTCAACCACCTGAACATTCTAGCTTTTATTAAGGCGGACATCACACAATGTAGTGCATACATTGTATTGTACATCACCTCATAGCTTGGAAAGCAAGCAATACCACTTCATTTCAGTTATCAAGTACTCGACCTAATGATCACCCTAGCTTTCTTAACAAAGCTGTAGATGTACAATGTAGTGCGTACAAGACATTTCCCGTAATTACTTTAGGCTCAGAAAGTAAGGGTAACTACACCCTTTTATCAGTACTCTTCCATCTACCTGGCCATCCAAACTTTTTTATCTATAATCATTCCCATTCATATTGATCAACAGGCCAAAGTTAGAAGCCTTTTGTTGGAGACAGTAGTTGCTTTTAATTCTAGTGACTCCTTATCTGGTTCATCAAAGATCACTAGATCAGTATCCAAGTTGACTAGAGACGCTGTCCTCGTCCTTTCCTGACTCATCAGTTTCCACTCAAGACTTTTTATCAAACCAATGCTTGAAAAGACTTGTCTATGATATATGAATGAAGCTTATGCCTTGTGTCTACTGTAAGTTATGTGTTAGAGGACCATCTAGTAGGAGTACTGGTATAATCCACTCCAGCTGGATCTCATTTTCATTTGTGCAGCTGGTATGTACCACAGCCACCCTCAATCACCACATTCGAATATCTGTTCTTTCATCATCCAATAATAACACTTCTATTGGTAGGTTGCTTTCTGTAGTTGTTGTTGGACAAATTCATTTGTATTGACCATAATTGGTTTTAGCCACCTTAAGTACTCGTGGGAACAGTGGAGATTTCTCGTTGTGGAAGACCATATGTTCCCATGGAGTACCAATTCCCACCTGAACATGAAGAAGCTCTGTCAACGGCCAGTTGATCCCAGCTCTGTTGCTCATATTCCATCATTACACATGGCAAGTTTTTGTGCCAATTGGTTCTGTCATGATTAATAGGCATTACAAGCTTCTGTTTAGTAGTCTGTATTGCCCATTCTGCCAAACCGCCAGGCTGGGGTGATAAAGTGAAATAGGATTCCTAACCACATTTGACACTTTAAACAACTCAGCAAACAGTTTGCTACTAAAGTTAGCTCCATATTGATTTCTTCCTGTACTCCAAGTCGTGTTATCCAGTTCTTTACTAACACATTTACGATTGCCTGTGCTAGCATATTGAAAAATGGATAAGCTTTGACCAACTCAATGAAGTAGTTGACAGCGAGAAATATACTGCAATGACCTCGTGCAGTCTCTGGGGGTGAACCAGCAATATTCAGAGCTATCTTTCGCAGAGGAAATCCAAACATTCTCTGTTGAAGTTTACCCTATCCCAACAAGATTTCCTACGGGCAGTGCACGCTGTACAAAACTCACATCAGCACTAAAAATCTCAACTTATTGCTAGTCAGAAGAACTACCATTTAATGCTTGCATAAGTGTAGAAAATATCTGCATGACTTCTTGCTGCAGAGCTCTGGAGACCACTAGATACAGTACTGTTAGTTTTTCTACTAGTTTTGGTTGGCCTTGACCATACTGGATTGCAAGGAGTGCCCATGTTAGGTCAATAGCTTTCAATTTCTTGTTTCAAAGTTCCTAAATCATAAATGTTGGTATTCATCCGCTAGTGAAGTACTCTACCTCATGGTCAGCATTTACTAAGGCTGAACATGCTATCATCCCTCTGGATTTTTACAACTTACTAACATTTCATCACGGTGTATAATTGTTTTTCTGCATGATCAGGCAGTTAATCACTGGCAAATACACCTCCGAACTTGTTTCGAGTACACAACTCTTCAGAGAGTATCAAATAAATTTCTAATGTGTTCATAGTTTTTTAGATATCAGTTATGATGTTTCTATACTGATCAAGTTCTAAAATTGACTGAAATTCTGCGGATGCTAGAATATTTATAGTATGGGGTAAGGCACTACCAAAATGTATTTCAATTCGTAAAATTCCCTGTTTCA